TTATGGACAAATTTTTTAATGTAGGCTTGAGTCAGTCACTATGTCCTTCTGAAAAGCCTCTCCAGAAACATTATTTCTTCCTCATATGTTTTCCCGATAACTTCATCACCTCTGAATCACTTAGATCTTTTTGGGTGGGGGATCTTCTCTGTATTATTTGCCACTGTAGCTAGCATTGGTGCCATTCATGGGGCTGAGGACAGTAGATGCTCAATAAATATTTTCTGAATGGAATTAATTGGATTTAGAATTTATCAGAAATCTGTTGAGTTTTTTTTTCTTTATGGAGATTGAGCTGAAGCAATATTAAGGATGGAGTAAACAATTTTTATTAAAAGAAAAAATTTTCCTAAAGAGTCACTTCCATCAGTGGCATCACTAGGTCAGTGTGGGGGTGGGTGGGGGGAGTGCAGACCACACTGGGTGACACTGTTAGAGGGGGTGACACCAAAATGACTGTCTAAAATTTTGTGCAGTGTTTCAGCAGAAATTTATTATTTTTTACAAAAATATCCCTGTAGTTAGTTAAAACAACAAAAACCTTTTTTCGTAAACTCAGCTTACATGTATCAATATACCTACAAGGCTAAAACTCTATGCTAATTTACTTTGTGAACCTTCTGATGCCCTCCGGTCAGAGTTGTCATAATTACTCAATTACAGTGACTCTTTGAATCCCGTGGTTTCGTTTGCAGGGGCTACAAGCACATGCTGTTGTTTTTGTTGCTGCTGGTGTTTTTCCGGTCGCTGAGTTTGTCAAATTTTCTGATGTTTTAGCTGGAATATTGTGGTAATTATTATTTGTGAACGTATACCAATAACTATTTTGAGAATGAAGTATTTGTCTTGTATAGGAGGAGGTCCATGGGGAGTGGGTGACACTATGAGTTAGTTACTGCACTGGATGACACCAACCCTAGTGACTTCCATACTTTAGAAAATGGCTTTAAGCTTAAAGCAAAGGGTGAAAGACTTGTGTTACGTCTGAAGAATGAGGAATGATCACAAATATTAAGGTCTTAACACTGCGGTTCAATACATATGCTCAAATTTTATTGTAATAAACTTTCCTATAGTTGTTAAAATGATAAGTTTAAATGTTTCCTATTTGGTCTGAAACTGAAGAGGTTAAATCTAAGATACTAAAACAATTAAAAAAAATTTTCCAGTTACTGTATGAAACTGTGCTCTTACTTATCTTGTCAACTCCTCCATGACAATCCCTTTGCCTCCTCTCTGGCTAAATAAACTTGTGGCACAGCACTGTTCCTTGAGATCTTTTCAAGAACTGTACAGAGTGCCAGAACATTCCATGTGCAGTTAAGGAGATGATAGAAGAACAGAAGGAGGCAAATTGCTTGCTTTTCTAATTGCCTTTATGCCTTTTAGTTATTGCTACATAGAGATAAAATAGACCCTTTGTCTTTAGATTATCAGAAGATCAGTTACGTTCGTTACCAAATAATACAATGCAATATGCCTGTGAACATAAGTTAAAAGTCAAAACAGAATTGGCTCAGAATATTTTAAAAAGCAATTTACATAAAGATACATTTTAAAATGCGGCATGCAGTGGCTTGAACCTGTGTCTTTATGGAGAAAATGCCATTTTGTTTCCATAGCAACAAGTACAAGCATAATTCCAGGTGTTCGTTTCGGGGCATGCAGTGCCTTTGAGGCCATGTTTTATCTCATCACCCTTGGATTATTTCTGATGGCCAATTCCAATCCCAGATATTTGGAGATAAGTTTTTTCCTGGAGATTACTAACTCTTAAATGCCCTCTCTGCTAGTTCATTTGAACCACTGCATTTTTCTAAGGTAAAAACAGTTTCAGTGATTTCAAAATATTCTTAGTTCGTATTTAAAGGGATGCTAATACTCTATGAAACTAAACACTGTAGAGTACAATCACTCTAATTTTAACAAATGCTTTCACTGTAAGCAAGAAACACTGTTTAAGTGTCATGCAAAATAGTC